GCAGAGATAATCATACCCGACCTGACAGAAGCTTAGGAGTGAGTGAACGAAGTGGTTATAAAAGGCTCCCTACCCCCCAAGAACAAGGTATGTGAACTTTGTGCCATCTGGTTTTATCTTGCCTTTGAGAGAATTCTAACTTGAGCTTCGGAGCATTCATACCGGGTTCCCCCTGGAGCTTCCTCATCTTCTCCGTTTCAGGCTCCCCGTATCTCCGCCCAGAGGCAGAATCGTTGACAGCTAGGACCAGTCGGATTGCGCACCATCARTTTGCAATGAAAGTGTTAAACAGATACAGGTTTTATACCAATTCAGTTTTGTATTTATTTATTTGTAGTACAAATACAAATGTGTACAACACAAATATATATAAAACCCTAATACAAAGCCTAATGGATCAGTCTGGAAGGAGTACAAATACAAATATGTAGAGTGCATATCGTTATATTTTGTATTATTTTAGAAAGGTTAAAATATTATTTTGTATTGCACAAAATAAGTGCATATCCTTATTTGTACTGCACAAAACCTTGTAACTTGTATTATTTTGTATATATTTGTACTGTAATATTTGTATTTGTACTCTTTCCAAACAGAGCCACTCTTTCCAAACAGAGCCAATGGCTCGGTTTAGAAAGAGTAAAATAGAAATATGTACACTGCAAGTACATAATAAATAATACAAAATACAGGGCTTTGCATTCTACATGTTTATATTTGTACTCCTTCCAAAATGAGCCTATGATTTTGCACTCGTATCTAATTAATGCAAAACTTGTACTCTTTGTTTCATTTGCATTCACTTGCATAGCAAATTTTGCATTCCAAAAAATGATGTAAAATTTGCACCACCTTCCTCTCTCATGAACAAATAAAATGATCCACATCAWCTTTCTTCTTACCTTGTTCATAGACAAGTAGTTCTCTTTTTACCTMCAATCTCTTTCTTATGAGTTGTAGACAACATTTTATTTCTCATGAACAAATAAGACAGTCAAATATGAAGTAAAGTAAACTAGATTTCATATTAGGCCTATTTTGCACTCCCATGCATTTATTCATTTGCACCGTAAACAAACTGAAATAGGAGGATTATTTGTTTGAGAGTGAGATAGAAAGCCATATGGCATGATCCCCACTTTATATGAAAGATAATTTAGGTAGGTGGAAAGTGGTGCAAATTTAAACTAATGCAAAATTTATGCTATCAATGAGTCCAAATGAGACAAAATAAAAAAAAAAACTTTTCATCAGAAAAAAATGCAAATCATACAAAGGAATGCAAAATTGAACCAGGTGCCAAATTTGCATCCATTCCAGATTTGCAATGCAAACAAACAGAGCAGTCCAAATTTGCAAACTTGGTTGAGGGAAATAAGACATGAGAAATGGTCGTCACCTACCTTGAGCCATTTGTTTGTAGATCTTTTAAACCCCGTAGCTAATATTATTGCGTCGAACTGGTATAATTTCCCATTCGTTAAGATCACCTCATCACCCTTTATGCTTGCTATTGAAGGCAAAACCTATTACATCATCAAATCAAGGTTGAATTACAAAAGCCAACACAAAGGAAAACCATTGGTAGGGACAAAGATCAAATTTAAATGGGCCTACTTATCAGCTTGCACACAATTTAAAAGGACAAGTTTCCAACTCGAAACAGGCTTAGATGTCAATGGATCGATTCACACAGGCAGATGGCTAGGCCTGTGTGAATGATATCCGAAAATTCGCAGCCCGATCCGATTATCTGGATTCAGATGATGTGTTTATATAATCAAATCAGTTTTAGATTTTGTAATTTGTATTTAATTAATAATTAGATTAGATTTGGATTTGACTTCATTCGATCTAATTAATCTGATCTTGGTCATATTATAATATTTATTAATTTTAATATATAAATTTTACATTAATTTATTACAAGTAAAAGTTGAAAAATATTTTTTTTATTCTAAAAAATTAAAGTAAAATCGGATTAAATCTGAATCCAATCCAATTCTATTATGATTCGAATTCAAATCCAATTTTAGATCAAATTCGAATGTCAATTTTCAATAATCAGATCAAATTCAGATTTTGCTAAAACCAATCCAATTGCAACCTTACAGAAGGCTAAAAGTCACTAATCAGGTTGATTTCTTTAATAAGCAATCTCTTGGACTAAATGAAAAGCTYGTAGATTTTATAGCCTAATAGCCATGAGTGGAAGGCATGGCCCCAAAACCCATCCATAAGGGTTTGAAAAGCCGGAAAGCAAGCAACCTAGAATTCTCTAGAAGTTAGCTCCATAAATATAATGGAAGGCTGATTACCAAGTAGTTCAGTCGGCTATCTCTTTACGAGCTGTATTTTTTACCCACAAACTTTCTTGCATCATTACCCACAGATACTACAGCCACACATTGGGAATATCTTCATTACCATTCATGACAAGATGTTCCTAATGAAAAGTATGGTTATATTCTATGAGTAGGGATGCGTGAATTTGTGGATAGGAGATCCCTTTTTACCTGAAAAAAGGGTCGGTCACTTGGCATCCCTCTCTGAAGAGAAGCAGGTTCAAACCATGGAAGCATTCAAGTATAGACTCTCCATATAGTGACTAGTGAACTAGCTGTGGGTGGGGAGTGTTGGGATATCCTACCCACACCCCACTATAACTGTACATTGAGAAGGAGAACATCTCTCATATTTGCATGTTATCATTCATGTATAATGTTTTTGRGGCTGCTTTTGTAAACAATGCAAATATGTAGAGTGTAAAACGGTTTATATAAATTACAAAGGACCCATTTGGCATGTCTTTTCATGCAGCCTTTTGGTTGTTTACAAGTTAGAAAGACATATTTTCGGTCTATTCTCGTTTAGCTCGTGAAAGATATAGCCACCAAAAGATAGTGTGTCGAAAAAACGCGAGAAGCCCATTTCGGGCTGATTTTGGGAAACTTCAAATGAAGCTTCCTGCGTCTTTCGCATTTTAATCTCGATGGAAAGACGCAGGCAGACGCACAGAAAGATGCACGTTTGCCAAACTGTCTTCGGGCGGCACAGATCTTATGTCAAAAGCTCAATGCATCTTTTGACTGTCAGAGCTACAAGAAGATCTTCTCAAAAAGATGTGCCAAATAGGCTCAAAGTTAGGTTAATTTTGCACTGACAAATTTACCTTCTTACCAAATAGATTTTTAGTTGTAGTTGATGCAAATACAAATTCCAATAAAACATATGTCTTTTTTTTATCAAAAGCCCACTTGAATACAAATTTACTTCTTTTCTGTTGATGTACTTTTACATCTTATTATCAATRTAAATATGCATTGAAAAATGTGTTTTCTGCCATTTGTCAATGTATAAATATAATATTRCCAAACACAAGCAAAAATGAACCAGAGTACAAGTTTACCCTGAATCGAGATTTACACTCCATTTGCATCGTTTCCAAATACAGCCTAATATACAGCTGTAATGTCATGTGGATAGGTGTGGATAGAGCTACAAGTCGGGCCGGGTTAGGTTGGGTTGAGGCCAACCCTAACCCTAACTAATTCCTTCAACCCTAACCCAACCCGATGTCAACTTCGGGTTGGGCCCAACCCAACCTTCCCATACCTTAAAATGTAGTAGAAAAATAAGTATTTATTTATCATGAGTTATGACTTATGATAGAATTTTTATCAAAAATATAAATTCATGAAATCAACAATAATGAAACATAAAATTATGGAAATAAAATCACTAATAACAACTCATAGGATCAAGCAAATAATTTAAATCTATTTGATAGGTCACACATAAAAATTATAAAACAAAAGGAAAAGACAACTAGTCAAGTACATGTGAATAACTTAAAGAAAGGCATGATAGTATGTAGGGGGGCTATACAACTATCATGCATCTAAACAAATCAATGTATGTTATATATATATATATATATATATATATATATATATATATATATATATATATATATATATATATATATATATATATATATATATATATATGACATGTAGTAGAGTTGTAGACTAGTAGTCTAGTACTATAGGGGGTCAGGTTCGGGTTGCCCGAGGGGTCAACCCTAACCCTAACCCAATCATCAACCCAGCCTTGGGTTCGGGCCAACCCAGCCCTAGGTGTGGATAGGATTCTTATGAGTAAGGAGATCTGAATTGGGGTGAGGGATTTGTTAAAAGCCGGGCCGAGTTCAAATCTTGGAAGCATAGACTCCATATAGTGAATGCCAATGAGCCTGTATGTAAATATATGTTGCCATCACTAATCCATTGACCCATTAACTGGGGTATGGTGTGTAACAACCCACCCCTACGTGGCCAAACAGAAATAGCTTGGTGAATATTTTTGGGTTTCTTGCAGATAAGGGCAACTTTTTGCCCTGAATATCAATAAAAGATAATATTTTTATAAAATAACAAAAATAGGGTAGCTTTTTTGAAAAATATAAAGGAAGGATAATAACATTATTCATTGTCTTCCTCTGCGTCTGTATTTATCCTGAACCTCACAACTGAATCGGAGCCAACCACGGATCCGTCCAAAACAATGTAATCACATGTGTTCCTCATTAATGCACAACACCCTTGACCAATTAAACGATCTTACCCGTTTGAGCTTCAAACCCTTACTAAACCCTGGAGCAGCGAACCGCTATATTCATCCTGAACCTCGTCAGCGGCAAGGACCTCCTTGAAACCGCTGTATTCATTCTCCTTGAAACCGCTGTATTGGAATTCGTCATGGACTAGGAAATTTGCATGCATTAGGAACTCCTCTCATGCATGCATGTTTCTTATCCTCAGTGAGTCTCCTACTCCTAAATTTCAGGCAGATTGTATGTATATATATAATATATGGTTGTGCCTTGCATAATGGAGAGAAACGAGACACAAAGATTTTCACATGGTATCAGAGCGGCTTCCTGGGTGCCTTTCCTCCCGTGGACTTGCGAGCAGAGCCATCTCTCAGTCTTTGGAAACACCAGCTGCAGGCCCTCTCACCACGGATCCTACGAGTCAACTGGATGTCCTTGGGCATGATCGTGACTCGCTTGGCATGGATGACATAGAGGTTAGTGTCTTCAAACAGTCCCACTAGGTATGCCTCGGCCGCCTCCTGCAAAGCCAACACAGCGTGGCCTTAGAAACAGAGATCCGTCTTGAAGTCCTGAGCGATTTCACGAACAAGCCTCTAGAACGGAAGTTTCTTGATGAGGAGCTCCATAGTCTTCTAGTACTTACGAATTTCACGGAGAGCAACAGTTCCTGGATGGTATCTGTGAGGTTTCTTCACACCTCCAGTGGTCAGTGCAAATTTACGAGTTGCCTTGGTAGCGAGCGGCTTCCTGGGTGCAGCAGGATCTGCCTCCACCGCTGGCTCCAACTCTTAACGAGGACGACAGTAGGGGTGATCTTCAAGCTAGGGGCTTCGACGGTGTAGAACTCCAACATATTGCTTCTGCTCCTGCCACCGCCGACCGCCGTAGCACACTGCACAGAGGTGCGGCCAAGTCTGCACTCTGCAATCCTTTAGTTCAGTCTTCGTCTTCAAGATTTCTTACCTTCTCAGTCTGCATCTGCAATCTTCACTCGATCGATAGTAGGGGCGATCTTCAAGCCAGGAGCTTCGACGGTGTAGAACCCTGACATATTGCTTTCGCTCCTGCCACTGCCGACCGCCGTAGCACACTGCACAGAGGTGCGGCTCAGTCTGCACTCTGCAATCCTTCAATTCAGTCTTCATCTTCAAGATTTCTTACCTTCTCAGTCTGTGTCTGCAATCTTCGTTCGATCGACAATAGGGGTGATCTTCAAGCCAGGGGCTTCGACGGTGTAGAACCCCAACATATTCCTTCCGCTCCCACCAAACCCGAACTGATCCTTTTTGGCTTCCGGTGTAGATCCACGCGGCGCTATGCCGACGACACCTGGCCGACCAGACATTGAAGACGAAGCCTGAGACTATGACGCACCTCTGGCCATTACTATTTGTTGTAGCGGACAGGCTGATAGAGACATGTTTCCTAAAGTTGAGTAGTTGAGCAGTTGCTGACGAGTCTTGCTGATCGGTCACCATGGCTGTCAACAACGACAGGAACGGTGAGAGCTCAAGTAAGTCGGTATGATGGGGAGACAGACCCTGTGTTACGTCGACCAGGGATGGAGCTGGTCGAGGAAAATGGGGTGGACCCTCTGGCGGACGTGACCGAGGTTCAGCAAAAACTTATGATGTTCAATCATCAGCAGGGCGTGAGGTGGGTGCTAATGTAGCTGTGACTGATAGAGACAGGACCGGAATAAACRGGCTTAATAACGAGTAGTGGCAGTCTCTTGTAAGGATGCTCGATGCTTACAAAACCAGGACTAATGAAAAACTCTCTGGTAAGAAAAATTCTACTGATTGGATAATTGATTCTGGGGCGTCGCACCATATGACTGGAGAAATTAACTTATTGATGGATGCACGGAATATTACACTGTGTCCGGTGGGACTTCCCAATGGGAAGCAAACCACTGCAGTGAAGGAAGGGACTTTACATTTGGGTGGAAATATTTATCTGCATCATGTGCTTTTTGTACCAAGAATGAACTGCACCCTTATTTCCGTAGCAAAATTATTGSAAGAGATAAAATGTACTGTCACTTTTACTGACAAGCTATGTGTGATATAGGACCAAACCTCAAGGATTCTGATCGGCGTGGGTGAGCAGTGTGATGGGGTCTATCATTTTAGAGGAGCAGCACCGGTTCGGGCGAATAGAACAAGAGGTATGGATGAATGGGAGTTATGCCATCGCAGATTAGGACATTCGTCTAAATAGATATTATCTTTTCTCCCTAAAGTAGATAAATTAAATAGTAGAATTGAAGGAGATAAGCCATGTGATGTTTGTTACAGAGCAAAACAAACATGGGAAATTTTTCCTGAAAGTAAACATAAAGCTAATGGTTGTTTCTCTCTAATTCATTGTGATACATGGGGCGCCTATAAAGTACCAGCCTCTTGTGGTGCAGTTTACTTTCTAACCATTGTTGATGATTATTCTTGTGTTGTGTAGGTTTACTTGTTACTGGAAAAAAAGTGAAGTAGCACATATTATTGAGAAATTTTGTGCCATGGTAGAACGTCAGTTTGGCAAGCAAGTCAGGACTGTTCGAAGTGATAATGGAACAGAATTTAAAAGCTTGAAATCATACTTTGAGACTCATGGCATTCTGCATCAAACTTCGTGTATTGGGACACCGCAACAAAACGGCCGGGTGGAGAGAAAACACAAGCAGGCTTGCCCATTGGTTTTTGGGGGGAGTGTGCCTTAACYGCCGGATACATGATAAATAGGACACCTTCTTCTGTACTTGGCGGGAAGACTCAGTATGAGGTACTGTTCGGGACGCCACCTCAATACGAGCACATGAGAGTATTTGGCTGTCTCTACTATGCTCATTGGAGTCCTCGAGACAAGGATAAGTTTGGAGAAAGGAGTAGGAAGTGTGTTTTTGTGGGTTATCCCTACGAAAAGAAAGGTTGGCGCGTATATGACGTTCAAAGAGGTGAATATTTTGTCTCCCGTGATGTAGTCTTCCATGAGAATATATTTCCATATGTCACTGGTTCAGAAGCCACTCTGGGAGACAAAACTGGCCTAGCCATTGCACTAGTTGATGCCGGAGTTCATGATGATGTTGTACACAGCCACAGAGGGAATAAAGACAAGGGGAGTGATGCAGCCGACATCTGTGATAGGGGGAGCCTTGAGAATAATGATGATGGAAGAGAGGAGGAGCATGGAGAAGAAGAGAGTGTGCAGGAAGTGGGAATTGATGGTAGTGAGGACAGAATTAATGTGGATCCAGCACCACAAACGGCACCAGAAGAGCAACTTGGTAGGGGACATCAGCATCGCACATCGTCTGTTTTGTTGAAGTCCTACGTGACCTACACTGCTCAACGCTTAAAAGGCCCCATTCACACTCAAGCCAACTCTAAATCAGACTCCTCAAGTATGACTCCCTATCCCATAGCGAATTATGTGACATGTACTAATTKCTCTACTAGGCATCAAGCTTTCTTAGTTGCAATCACTGTAGGAGTCGAGCCCACCAGCTTTTCTAAGGCAGTGAAAAGTGAGAAATGGAGGGAATCTATGAGGAAGGAAATCCAGGCTCTGGAGGATAATGGTACTTGGACATTAGAAACTCTACCTCCCGGGAAAAAGGCAATAGGGAGTAAATGGGTTTATAAGATCAAATATAATTTAGACGGGACGGTTAAACGACATAAGGCTCGGCTAGTTATTCTTAGGAATAGACAGGTTGAGGGGTTAGATTATAATGAAACTTTTGCTCCTGTGGCCAAAATGATGACAGTCTGCACTTTCCTAGCCGTGGCAGCCGCTAAGAATAGGGAGTTGCATCAGATGGATGTACATAATGCATTCTTACATGGGGATTTGGATGAGGAGGTATACATGCAGTTGTCGCCAGGTTTCGCATCTAAGGATCGAACAAAAGTGTGCAAACTGAAGAAATCTCTTTATGGATTACGTCTAGCTCCCAGATGCTGGTTCTCGAAATTAACAACGGCCTTGATACAGTTCGGGTTTGTTCAATCGTATCCGGATTACTCTTTGTTCACTTATTTCAAACACAATGTTCGTCTGCACGTGCTAATATATGTTGATGATTTGATTGTTGGGGGAAATGATACTGTAGCCATTATGAAATTCAAAGAGTATCTCAGTCGATGCTTCCATATGAAAGATCTGGGACCACTCAAATATTTCCTAGGTATTGAAGTAGCTCGTGGTCATGAGGGAATACATTTATCTCAACGGAAGTATGCCCTGGACATTATCTCGGAATGTGGACTATTAGGAGCCAAACCAGCGTTACTGCCCATTGAACATAATCATCATCTTGTGCTGGCCAARGGCACTCTAATGGACAATCCGAATTAATACCAAAGACTAGTAGGGCGGTTGATATACTTAACCATCACACGACCTGAGCTCTATTGTGTTCATATTCTGGCCCAGTTCATGCAAAGCCCGCGACAAGAACATTGGGAGGCAGCTCTGCGTGTAGTGCGATATATGAAAGGGTATCCTGGACAAGGTATAGTATTGCGTTCCGATAGCGATCTGCGTTTGTATGCTTACTGTGACTCTGATTGGGCAAGTTGTCCGTTGTCACGATGATCGTTGACCAGCTATTACGTTCTGCTGGGGCAGTCACCAGTTTCTTGGAAAACGAAAAAACAACACACTGTGTCACGCTCCTCGGTAGAAGCAGAATATCGTTCGATAGCTGTGACATGCTGTGAATTGAAGTGGATGAAGAAACTTCTATTGTCCTTGGGAGTGGTGCATGACGAACCTGCGCASTTATATTGTGATAAACAGGCAGCCCTGTATATAGCCGCGAATCTAGTGTTTCACGAGAGGACAAAGCATATTGAAGTCGACTGTTATTTTGTTCGTGATGAACTGCGGCATGGGAACATTGTTACTCGGCATGTTCGAACCACAGAGTAATTGGCTGACATCTTGAYGAAGGCTCTTGGGAAAGAGAAATTCACCTATTTCCTTGGCAAATTGGGCATTCGGAATCTTCATGCGCCAATTTGAGGGGGAGTATTGAAATTCGTCATGGACTAGGAAATTTGCATGCATTAGGAACTCCTCTCATGCATGCATGTATCTTATCCTAGTGAGTCTCCTACTCCTAAATTTCAGGTGTAGATTGTATGTATATATATATATATATATGATTGTGCCTTACATAATAGAGAATAGAGAGAAACGAGACACAAAGATTTTCACACGCTGTATTCATCATGAACTGCTCCAATAAGGATTTAGTAAGGGTTTCAAGGCGGAGACAATCGCTATATTCATCTTTCGGTTTTTGTGTTGTGTTCGTGGCACAATGGAGACAACCATATTCGTGTTTCGGTTTTCCTTCACCGGTACAAAAAGGGAATTCCGGCCTCCATCACCAAAGGAAGGGTAGGGGAAGACAATGAAAAGTATCATTGCCCTTCCTTGATATTTTTCAAAAAAAAAAAAAAAACTATCCTATTTTTATTATTTTATAAAAATATTATCTTTTATTCATATTTAAAACAAAAAATTGCCCTTTATCTACTACAACCCCGATATTTTTTCATTATCTTGAAAATGACAATTATGGATTGAAAATCATACTTTTTTCTTTTCTTCCATCTTCCGACGTTATTTTCGACCACATGGAAAGGGGCTATTCTTTTCATTTCTTTAGTCTTCACAAAAGAAGGAATTTTTTCCTTGTGGGGATTCCCCACCTTGCAATGACCCCTGGTCCCTGCTTGGTAAAATTACTAGAATATCAATGATATTTTGATAAATGGATTAAAGGCCCCGATGACCAAAACCGGTGCAATCACTCTCAAACTAGGCCTTAATGAATTATGAAGTACCTGAATCTTGCCGGACTTGATCATCTGAGCGGCTCCGACGTTGGTATTTGGATACTTGCCGTATGTCCTCGTCCAGTAAAACGGACCTTCCTCCGGCCGACGAAGCCCGTACTTGCTCAAGTCACCGTACAGAGACCTGCAGAGAGTGAGAATTAATGTATCCACCGCGTCAACGGGAAGGTACGCACTTAAGATCAACCCCAGGCTCAGCATGTTCTTAGAGAGAATGTGAAGCTGCAGAACTCGACTAATTAATCAGTCTCAAGACTTAATAATCAAGAATATATACAGAAAAAAAAAATCTTGGACTGATTCTTGAACTTGATTTGGTTACCGGGCTTCTAACAATAATGGAGGTCTTGGCACCAGCAGTAGCTGCATCGAAAGCGATTTCCATGCCGGAGTTCCCAGAACCAACGACCAAAACACTCTTGCCGCTGAACTTCGCCCCAGATTTATATTTGGTAGAATGAAGCAGCTCTCCTTTGAACGTGTCCAACCCTTCAATCTCCGGGACAAAGGGGTCGGAATTCTCGCCGGTCGCCACCACCAGAAACCTAGAAACGTAGTCCTCCGTCTCGCCGGAGACTGTATTCCTGGCCTTGACGTGCCATTTCTGGGTCGCTTGGTCGAAGGTGGCCGACTCGACGGATCGATGGTAGACTGGATTCACCTTGAAACGAGAGGCGTAGTCGTCCAAGTAACGGATGAAATCGCTCCTGGGTACATACATGGGCGAATTGGAAGGAAATGACATGTGGGGGAGCTCGCAGTATTGCTTGGGCAGGTGAATGTGGAGGCAATCGTAAGACTTGTTCCTGAATAGCGAACCTACACAGTCTTCCCTTTCCAGAACTATGTTCGGGACTGAGTGGAGGTTCAGGCACGCTGAGGTTGCCAGTCCCGCCGGTCCGGCACCCACAACGATTACTACTTCTTCCCTCATTTTTTTTCTTCTTCTTTTTTCCCAATAAACAAATTACAGCATATCACTTCGTTGGTCTGTCGGCTTTTGGGTAGGGACTAGGAAGTCTTGGGTGACTTGCCGTGCAATASACTCCTAATTTCCTAGCCACTAGTAATCTATACACACTTGCCCACAGAACACTATTTACAAACATTATTCATGGAAAATATTCCCAATGCATGGTGGGATGTACCTGTGAGGTAATAGAAGATGTTCCTAATGCATGGTGAGATGTGTCTGTGAGGTTGGTGTAAGGTGTGCACCTCACAGAGAAGATCCCAATTCCCATGGTAACATGTAATAGGATGAAATGTTTCCCATGTGTGACTGTGGTATGTTGTGGGTAGAGCATTTGTGGGTATGAGATCCGGACTCCTGTGCAATAATGATAATAATGTCTATAATGATAGAGTTTTGACACAAACATATCTTGTGGGGTATGAGATCCGGACTCTTGTACAATAATGGTAATAATGTCTATAATGATAGAGTTTTGACAATAACCTCACATCATGTTTCAATTACACATCTGGAACATCTTCCATGCTTATATTATTCATGGGGAGATGTTCTCAATGCATCGTGGGATGTGGCTGTGAGGTCAATGTGAGGAGCATTTTGTGATGAACAAATCCCAATTCATAATGATAGGGCTCAAGCAAAAATTTGTGTGTGAGAGTTTCTGAAATCCAACCAACCTCACAACACATTTCAGCCATGCATCTGAAACATCTCCCCATAAATTAAAAATTTACTAGTACAAAATGTTCCATGCATGGCCAAAACATGCTGTGAGGTCAGTGTGAGGCAGGCTCTGTGAGGAGCAGATCCGATGTTTTATGTTGACGTGTCATTTGTTGTTCATGAATAAAACCAATCACATTGTCGAAGAATTTAGATTTGCTCCTCACAAAAAGTTTACCTCACACTAACCTTACAAGACATTTTAGCCATGCATTGCATGAATAACAATTTACAAGTACATATGTTCAAGATGTGTTGGGCACTCTGTGATTGTGAGAAGCAAATCCAGATTCAATGCCGATCTCCTTTTTTTTATTTTTCTATGGATTTTGATTACAATTATGCATAAAATTCCCACAGAGACGAAGGTAGACCCACCAAAAAAAATATATATTTTAGTTTTTCTAAGGATTCAATGCCGATCTCCTTTTTAGTTTTTCCAGAAAATATATTTTGAAATATTATATATAATATTAGCACTTTGACTTCATGTGCATTATGCAAGTTTGGATTTGGTTGAAACCCAAACCGACCCAAACTGACTCAAACAAACTAGGTCAGTTTTACTTAATAGAGGGTCGGTTTTGGATTGATCTATAGGTAACCCGACTAGGTCGGGTCGGTTGAAAAAACACTAGTAAACCGACCCAACCCGACCCGTGAACAGCCCTACATTCAATGCATTTGGATTAAACAGATATGGGTAGATATGTTCAAGGGTCGGGCTTTATATCAAACTTTGGGCTGTTGGGCTATATCCATTTAAATTTTGACGAAAGTTAAGCCCAAGTCCAACCCATGAACAGGTTTAATTATAAATCAATAAGACTTTTGTCCCAAACTAGACAAAGGGCATTGAGAGATAGCTCAATAGCACAAGCTGAGAAATGGGTTTACCAAATTTCGGTACCCTTGGAAACAAAGGAATTGGCATTTCTTCAACCATAGCAGCCCAAAAGCTAGCCAGGCTGGTGAGAAAGTGGGCATAGAACACTCCCCTGATCACCATAATATCATTTTCGGAAAAGTACCCACAGGCCTAATACAGATTTCTGATTTCCACTACAGAGCTATAAACATTTAGAATGTCAACAACCCACACTCTATGCACCAACGCTGCCCATGAATTGGCCTTAATTCCAAACTGGCACCTACCCCAACAGTACTTTGGGCCTACAAATTCTGACCCTGGGCTGAACCGTCATTCTCCCTAGCATTTTTACATGGAGATAGGGGTGGACACGAGCCGAGCCGAGCCAAATAATTAAGTATTCAAGCTCGGTTCGATAGAAAACTGCAAGGCTCGAGCTCGATTCGAATAAAAAATGGAGACTTGAGTTTGGCTCGAGTACAAAATGTATGTGTTTGAGCTCGAGATCGATAATGAACCGAGCTCGAATTTGAGCTTTCTGAAACACAGTTTGGAAAAATAACACTTTTGAAAAAAAATAAATTCTGTAATCACTCTTTCATTTCTTCCTCTTTTCTTACAAAACAACTAAGTTTGCAAAAATGAATGGTTTTAGGCAGTGTTCTACAACAATGTTTTTATTTATTTGTTCTTGAAATCACCACATCAGCAAAAAAATGTTCTAGAACTGTATTTCTGTTTTGAGAAGCAAAAACAAGTTGATTAATCCTGGAATAGCACCAACATTGACAACATGACATCTCTTCAAGCACAGATAGAGCCTTAAATATGGAGGTACATAATTAATGCTACAAGAGGGCCATTAGCCAATGGGGATCCTGAATAACAGGGTATTGGGAAGGGTAGTCTGGATACAGATTATTAATCCCACTGAAATATGAAAAGATATATTCAAGAACACTAGTGCATCTATGAGAACATTGAGTTAAAAACTGGTAATGGCATGCCTGAATTAGGCAGGCTTGAGATAAATACAGGACTAAAAGAGATTGTGGTTAGCTATTATAGACATTTTGAAACATACATTTTAATGCTCCAAAACATATCATATAAATGTTATGAATTTGGAGAGCTGAATACCTGAATAACATATTGAACTGGTGATGTGCAAGAAACAGGACAGTCACATCCATATATACCATTGCCACTTAGTCCTAACATTTTTGAAACATGAGAAAGAAATTGATGAGGCTGACCTTCACAACTCTTGCACCAGAATTATATGCAGCCCATAACTGCAGAATCATTAAATGAATATAATTAGTCCATTTCAAAACTAAAAGAGTTCAAATGCTAGAATTCACACAAAAAGTCCTAGAGTTTTGAGAATATCATGGAAAAGGAGGATATCCTTACCTCTGTTGGTGTCATTACTCCAGGGATATAGAGAATTTCACCACCTTGGATATCTTCAAGAATGTCCTGCTGATCATGGCTGACTTAGAGAGAAGAATACTCAAAGAAGGTAAATTTTGAAAAAGTTCCAAATGAGTTAAAAAAAAAACTTCTCTTTGGGAAATTTTCTGTAGATAATAAGCATATATGTTGATGTTTTTATATTTACACAAACAACCAACCACTGGTAAAAGAATAAAAGCAAAACCAAAAGAATATTAGATAAGTAAGTCCTTGAGTGTAACAAAGATAAGTCCTTGAGTTTCACATCAGCCCTTCCAATAATCATAAATGGAAAGATGGATGCCAAACCACTGGACCATCACCCAGGTTCTGACATTAAGAACAATATCTGGCTCATAATGTGGTTGAATAGATCATAAAAGATTAATGCCATGGAAGCTCGTCCTTTATGTGAATAGCTGTGTTTGACCCTTAGGTTAGAAATTGTTGGATGGGAACTTTATCTTCATTCATCACAAAAAAAGAAGACACTCCCAGTTTCACTGTGTGTGTATTATTTTTTTCAAGTAAGAACTGAGCAGTTTCATATACACACACGTGCATGCATGTATGTGTCCATGAGAGAGAAAAATATATGGTTTAAAAGATTAAAAAAATAAGATACTAATGCACGCCCAGCAAACAGAACCTTGCAAATTAACTTGTTAGGAACACACAAACCTCTGATGATAAATTGATGATTCCTGAGCTTTCCCATGAGCAACCTTCATATGCATGTTATGCAGCTGTCCTTTCACTAGAGCCTTGTTGCCTATGAGATGTGCTTGCCGTGCCTGTTATATAGGGCATCCTTCATTAGGATAAACATAATGCATTGAGAGGCCAGGATATTAGTCATGAAGAGAATGTAAAGAGTAATCTCAAATCAGCAAATGGTACTTTTGAAATTGCACTTCAGATGCTACTGCATACAGCACTAAAAGCAGTAAGCATCATCCCTATCCTCAACAATTGGTCAAAAAGATGCCCACCCTGCATGTATTGAACCAAATGATGGCAATAGGGCTGCCAACAAGACTGAAACAGTGCTACTGCAACATATCACTGGATGGTTTTCCTCTACTCCATGTTCAAAGCTTGAACGATTGGCTTCCCCAGAGAGACATTTCAGGTTGCAGTTTCCTCCATTGATAAAAATATAGGGCTCCCAATGGATCAGATTTAATCCAAGTTGAATTTGAACGAGATTCATTTAATTTGGAATAAGATATCCATTTAACCATGATTGGATTAAATTAGATTTGAAAGTCTGGTCTGTTTACTAATTAGATCGAATTCAGGTATCATTTGATCTGATCCACTAAGATCCAATCCAATATATGACCCTTTTTAGAACTTTAATTTTAGCTTCTTTAGGATTAAGTGGGAATGTGGGATTTGAGATTTATATGAATATATCTTTATCTATTTACAACAGTTATTTTGTATTTTGCTGCAAAAAAGCACTCGTTTTATATTTAACTATGGCATTGTACTAGTTTTATAGAGATTTGTTGAGCTTCAAATGATCAATGGACCTTATTTTAATAGAAAGGGTCTAGGTCAGCACCAAACCATAGTTTTCTTGTTCTTTTCTGCAATAAAGATAAACAAAAATCCTTGAACATAAAAATAGCTGAACAAAAATTCTTTTCTGCAATAAAGATAAACATAGTTTTCTTGTCCCATACTCCTTTAATTGTTCAAATAAACAAGAAAAGCTGAACCACAATTAAAAATAGTTGAATCATAATAAAAAAATAGAATCCAACTCAAAAATATCTGGTTCACAATCTTTGTCATCTTGCTCAAATGGTGGTTCATGCAAATTTGAAGGGTCCCCTCCATAGGCAACTCTCTCTCTCTCTCTCTCTCTGATTAGAAACGAAAAAAAGCACTTGAATATAGGATAGATGAAACGAGAATTACCTGCTTTTCTAAGCTTCTCAACTTATGCAAGCATGAAGCATCCAACAATTTCAGCAAATAACTTAAGAAAATCTAGTTGCCAAATCAAAAA